AACAGTATAAAACACACATGATATTAGGCAGGTTGGGAAAATTACACAGTTTTCCTCAACTCCTTGTGTTTCTCCTCCCAACAACTGTTAAATTCTCTCTCTTGAAGTTCATAACTTTCTTGTTACCAGGTGCTGCCATTCCATTTTTTTTCCTCCAGAAAGTTGCTGGAAATGCAACAAGAGCCTCCCAGATCTTCTTGCTCCCTAAAGGAGGGAGAAAGCCAGTCCCTTTCTAACTTTGCTCTCCAAAGGTGCAGGAATTTGACAAAATACCTTTTGCCCTAATAAAGGCACTGCTGATTTCTTGAGGAAAATGTCCAAAAATAGGTTTTGCTGAACTTCCAGTAAAATATTGGCATGTTTCTGAGGAAGCACTGGTAGACTCAGTGCCATGGTGGACTTCACAGGGAAGTCCTAGCAAGGGGATGGAGTCCTCAGAGCTTGGGCCTCTCTAAAAGCAGAAAACCATGAGGACTTGTGTCCTCACAGTATCTGGTAGGTCCAGTTTCCTTCACGTGCAGCAGCGAGCCCTGAGAGCCCCATCTCACAGTGTATTATTTCCTCTCCTGCTTTGCCCTGGAAATTTAAATGGTTCCCACCACATGTGCTCCAGTTCTGTGCTGAAACAGAAATGTAAAATGTACCTGTATGAAACACTTCACTGACCAGCTGCCCTTGGCCTTGCACACCCACATACCTGAGACACCCGTCTCCCAGATGTCTTCCAACACAAGAAACATTATGTGTGCACTCCGGGGCTGCAGGACAGGGTACAATCAGCAAGTACTGCAGGTCACTATCCTTGGGTCACCAGGTGTCACCCACAGCACCTCTGCCTTCAGAGGTGTCACCCTAAAACATTTATTTCAGGGTGACCAATGATGGAAGGATGAGCTAAAGGTATAAAATCTCCCTTTTTCTCTCAGAGGCCACAGCAACATTCAGTCCTACTTCCATGTCAAGCTCAGGTCTGCATTTTAACATATACATAGAGGAGACTGTGTCAAAAAAAAATTCTAATATTATGCTTTTGAACAGAGAATTTACCTAAGTAAATAATTATTTTTAAACCCAAGATTTAAGCAGCTTTAGTATTCCACATTATGCTAATGTTTGACAATTACTAAGTGTGGGTATCAGCCAGCATTTTTTTTTTAAGTTTAATTTAAAGCAATTTGACATGGAAAGGTTATTACTTTAGTTGCCAATAAAAGCTGTACTTTTAACATAAGTGTACACCAAGCCCTAGGGTATGTGACTATTATCTTTTCTGCAATTATGTGGTGTTCTACATAAATGTTTAAAAAAAAAAAAAACTTAGAAATATCAAAAGTACTAACTTAGCTGCAATATAAAAGTTGAATAGCAGAGCCGGGAAGCCCGTCTCCCGCAGACACAACACAGGTTGAGGTTTCCTCCTAGAGGTACCGCCGGGAACGGCGCCTCCGCCCGCACGAAATCTCATCGCATCCCCCCCGCTCCGCCGGGGCCGAGTGCACGATGCTGCCCTGAACGACCTCGCTCAACACAGATGCTGCCACTTCGCAGCTTCACCCGCGTTCCCCAGAAAGTTGCTTCCCCCCCCCCCCCCAATTTTTTTTTTTTTTTTTTTTTCTCCCCCACAAATATTTCCCTTTTTTTCTTTCCCCCCAAATATTTCCTTTTCTCAGGTCTTCAGTGCTAAGAGGGGAGAAGGCTTTTCTCACATCCTGCTTCACAGAATCACAGAGTGGTTCTGGTTGGAAGGGACCACAGTCTGCCTTCTGGTCTAAGCTCCCTGCTACAGCAGGGTCATCCCAGAGCACATGGCACAGAATTGTATCCAGATGGTTCTGGAATATCCCCAGTGAGAGAGACTCCACATCCTCTCTGGTCTCTGTTCCAGTGCTTGGTCACTGCAAAGGATAGAAGTTCTTCCCCATGTTCAGGTGGAACTTTCTGTGCATCAGTTACTGCCCATTGCCTCTTGTCCTATTACTTTGCACCATCAAGAAGAGCCTGGCTCCATCCTCTTGTACCCTCCCTTCAGATACTTACACACACCAATATACATAAATCTGTGAGCATTGCTTTTCCCTCATAAATGGAAACTGCGTCTTCCACTTGCTTTAGGGTGGTGTCTCCAGAAGAGACTCCATGGCTGTAGCAATGAGGCTCCCTCTCAGTACAAGGCAGCATGCAGGGACCCCCACACCCAGGGAGTAGCCACCTCAAAGATCCCAACCCAAATGCCAAGTTTGGTCCTCATCAGACAAAAGCACCACTGCACGGGCACAACCCTGCCCTTGAGTGGAAATCAGTCGTTTCCCTTGGGAAATTACATTTGAGACCATGAAAAGCCACAGTGCCATTGCTGAAGCTCCCAGATGGATGAAGCCCTGGGCTCAAGGCCAGGATGGATGGGGCTTTGAGTAACCTGGTGTAGGGGAAGGTATGGCAGGGGAGTTAGAACTAGATTATCTTTAAGGTCCCTTCCAACATAAACTCTTTTATGATTCAACAGGAGTGTGTGGAGGAGAGAGATGAAAGTGTGTCCTTAGGAGGAGACAGGCCAGCTCACGCATGCAAGGGAAGAGACACTTCCCTCCTGACACCTGCTCTTCTCCAGGATCTGTTTCTTTGGCCAAAGTGAGGATGCCATGAAAGCCAAAAGTGCTGAGGGGTATCGGCCCATCATCCCAGGGACTTGGCAGCAAGTGCTCTATTCCCTTGGGCTGCTTAGTCCTGAGTCCCTCCTGTGTAATGGAGAGATGGCCCCTTCCATCAGCCTCTCTGGGTTAGCATGGGGCAGAGCCAGGGCCCACGTGGGCACATGGCAATGTCTTCAAACACATCAGCCTGTGCAGGTAAACGCACTCCTCTGCTCTGCCTGCTCAGCCCTTCAAAGGCAGAGCCTGGGGGCAAACAGAATGGGGTGAGACAAACTCTAGTCCAAACACCAGAGGCTGCTTACTTGGGAGATAATTTTGATATATGAGGTTGTTTTTTTTAAGTCTAGGTGGTTTTTCTCTGTCTGGGTTTTGTTTTTAACTTGAAGCTTGTGAAAGTCACAGCATGACCCTTGCTGGCTGAAAGGATTCTTCTCAAAACCAGTCCACACCAGAGCAATGAACTTCAGCTTCCTGCAATGCCCTGCCAGTGCCTTTTGGTGCTTAACTGCAACCATCTCCAGACGGGAATGGGAATTCAGCCTCAGTAGTCTGTTCAGCCCCAGCAGTCTGTTGAGCCCTTTGTCTTTCTACTGAAAAAGTGAAAACACTGGTCACAGTTCCAGTGCCAACTGCAGTTTGTATTTCAAATTAACTAAAGTTCATTATTTTACACTTTAGGTAGGAGTTGCAACAAACTGTTCACCAGCAGTCCAAGCAATAGTATACAAGCCCCTCTAGGATTCCTTGGAAGAGCTCCTGATGAGTTCACCAATGTTTGCACATTAACCTCTGGGTGAAAAGCCAGCCAGAGGGATGTGAGAACTCCACCGAGCCCTCCAGAGCATGACACAAAATGATGCAAGTGTGGGAGCTAGGAGAGAAAAGGTTTTGTGAGCCCAGAAAAAATAATAAAATGTTTAAATCCTTAATTGTTTTTCTTGAAGATTTATCCAAAATCGAGCTCTCCTTAAGCCTGTGAGTTTGCAGAGCATTGTCAATAAATTAGATCATGCACACAAGGCAAGGATTTCAAGCCAAAAAGCTCGAGCCCTGAGTCGCTTTTCCCCAGAAAAAATGACTCGAGATGAAACATGAGATACGTATTAATTATCAATGGTCTAATAGAAAATTTAATGAAGACAAGTATCTTCTTGCACTTTATCCACGATAACGATGATAGTACGTCAGCAAGGCACATACCTTAGAACGTGGTAGTGAATGTCAAGTCTGAAGCCATTACAGCAATTCACCACAATAATGGCCAGCCAATGCATGGGCTCGTAGCACTTAATCAAAGTAATGACATCCATCCACAATTATTTATGTTATGGTAACAAAGAGCTGCCAAATGCAAAACAAATGACACAAGGATTTGCAAGTGAATTTCTTCCCGTAAATTCTCCTTAGGTTATGCTTAAGGGCCCTCAGGATGGAAGTCTGTGTATATTCAGAGTGATATCAAAACAGTGGGGTTGTTGTGCCACATTTTATTGCCTATAAGCAATGAACCCAACGCTATCACCAAAATGAGGTCTTCAGCCAACGCAACTGTATCAATATCATTTGAGCTGGCCTTGATTTACACCCAAGAGTTGCCCTCAGAATTTTACGGGAGGAAAAACATTATATGGAAGACAACCTTTGCTTACATCTGCCTATCAAGGAAAACAAAGACCCAGTTGTATTAACACTTAAACATGCCTTTAACTTAAAGTATATGAGCAGTCCCCACTTACCTCAATGGGCTTTGGATTACAGCCATTATAATTACCTACCGTGATTCTCTATTAAGAGCAGTACGGTTCTTTCAGGGGCATTTATGTGGGTGTTTGTATAAAAACACTGTCAAAAACTAAAGAACACCAGTAAATATAGAATGGCAATGTTCAGGTTCAAATGTAATGAACTAATTTATTTTTTTTAACACTACATCCAACTGTTTTTCACCACGCACAGATGTCACTGGAACAACTTGAATACAAAAAAAATTGCCTAAGAACAATAAACTACACAGACCAGCTAATATTGATTGCTTTAAAAATGCCCCCTGTTAAACTAAATAATAGCTGAATCTCACTGCAGTAAATGTGCCTTTATATCATTAAATACTAATTTAACAGAAATGTGACTGCATAGTGAAAAACACAAAAATGTTGGAACTGAAAGATTGCCTTTTTTTCCCTCTGCATTATACAAGTCTCCAAATTAACACCCAAAAGAAGAAAACAATAATTTCATATTAGCTGGCTACTTAGTCACACAAGCCAAAGCTGGGACTAAGCTAAACTCTAATACGCACTTTCCAAAGCGACCTGTGTGTCTCTGAGAGGGGAGGCTGGAGGATGCCCCTCACCATAGGCTCTGTCCGCCCTCGATGACTAGATTGTGGCCTGTCATGTAGTCAGAGGCTTCAGAGGCAAGGTAGACAACGGCAGCCTGCAGGTCGGTGGTCTGAGCCAGCCTCCCGGCGGGAATGTCGCCCATCCAGCGCTGCACCAGCGGCCGCAGCTCCTTGGAGCGGATGAGTGGAGTGTCCACGATGCCCCTACAAGGAGCACACACACCAAGAGTTTAGGAAGAAGAAAAGGCACCACTTACAGGGGTTTGAGATGTTAATTCAGAAGGGAAAACCATGGAATAACACAAAGGAGATGAGATGAGCACATCAGACCTGCTCTGCCTCTGCTGAAAGTCATGATGAAAACTTTCCTGTCATTGCCTTTCACTGCTGACCGGCAGCTTAGAGGTTTCCTTTAAAGCAAGTGCACAGGTACTATCTGCTTAGCTAATAGCAGAAGTCCCTTACTTTAAGGTCACCAGTTTAATTTTTTTTTCTAGAAAACAAGAATGGCATTGGAATCGAAAGCATCTTGAGTCGGGTCTGTCGCGGCTCCTGGGAACTGTCGTCCCTCTACCAATTTCTCTTCTCATCGCTCCGCAGCATAATGTCACACAGCGTTTGTGTACAGCCCAGAAACTGAAAACAGACCAACTTCCCATATGTCAAAAAATGAGGGAAACAAAAGCCAGCACCCTTCCGGGCACCAGACCCACTCCACACAAAGAAGGAGAGGCAGGGATAAGCACAGCACAACCAGTGCGATTCCCCCTTAAACCAACACCCCAACATATCACACTGATTTACCTGTTTTTCCTCTTTTACATCAATGAGTTAAAACTCTGCTAAGTTCATTTTTTTCAGGTGCCCTAAAAATGAGTGATGCTGCAGGAAGCACAATGCAGGGCGAACATTTGGCTGGCTTTTCTGACTTTAACTGCAACTGATTTGTCATACTCCTCCTTAACAACATATTTGTATTTTGCGAAATGTATAATTTTTTCAGCCCCTGAACAAATATATTTACATAACTGTGTCTAACGAGAAATTACATTTAACTTCTCAGAAATGACAATAACTAAAACCTGAACTGCCAATTCCACTTCATTAGTGTGGTAGAAATGCATTCCAAATGTTAATAAAAATTCCAACATGCTGATAAATTAGCGCTTCTAAGGAGCATGTGACACCTTGGTTAACATATTCAACCTCAATTATATTTCTCTTCAGCACCCTGTTATCTGGAACCTTTGCTGGCAATCAGAGGTGCTGTTTTTCAGCGGCCAATTTTCTAGATAATGTAGCTTATCAACACTGTGGGTAAACTTGCCAATGAAATCAGGCTGCACTGAACCACACACACGCTAATTGCATCTCTTTTTTATGCATATTTACAGACTGTCACTTCAAAGAAATCAGTGGCCCATTGAGGCAGCCAGTTAGCTGGAAGAATTGCCTCTTGCAAATGAAAATTAGCAAACAAGCTAGTGATAAATATGAAATGAACAAAGTATAAAAATACCCGTTTTGTTCTGAAACTTCATTGGCATCCCAATTTAGACTTCCAAGGAAATAATTTTTTGAGTCAGACTGGATTCTGGGTATGAGATCTACCTTTTGTTTTAAATGAAGGCTGAAATCTTCTATTTACTCTGTTACGAAGTGGAACTAATTCAGATTTTCCCCCAAACATTTCTGTTTGCACTAATCAGGCAGGATTTAAATATCAGCTTTATTTTTTACTGTAATTGTCAATAAAGAGCAGAACAGTTCAGAAACAGTGAGCAATGCAGCTTGTTTAAGTTCTGGCAACGTAACAAAACCAAGCACATTCCAGTATAGAACTGTGGACTTATTTCCTTCAAGCACAGCCTCCTGCTCTCCCTCCTTGCTTTTCCAAACTCCTCGAGAACTGGTTTTCTTCAGAGAGAAACGTGCTTTGAGCAGCAGATAAGAAATATATTGGACTCCTTTTCCATACGTGCCTCTCACTGTGCTCACAAAACCATCCCCATCATCATCACTCTGGTTTTACAGTATCAGAGACCAGAATAAGATCCATATGATTGTAATGGGCTTTTTTTCCATTTACAGATATATTTTAACCCCAGGGGAATGCAGATTAGGAAGTAAGACACACAATCCTTCAGCACAACAGATTTTGCTAAAAAGAGGACATTTTTCAATCTGTTCAGAAAAATGATCTTTAATCTGATCACTGCAGCCTGTGAATTGCTGCATTGTGGCTGTCGCTGGACCTTTCTTTATGTTCACTTCAAGAAGCAAAAATTTAGATGTGTAACCAAACTTCATTACAAATTTTTATTATAGAAATGAGAAAAAAATATAGCGCAAAACTTAAAAGTTGCAAACACACATACTGATGGCACTATAAATATTAGGCATGTCATTGATACTACACATCTTCTGGGAAAGCTTTGGTGCCAAATTGGGCAACTTAATGTTGTCGAACCCTTTTAGGCAGATTTTAGTTGGCTTCTAACCAGTTCCAGCAAAGACAACTGCCAATGCATTAATTCCCTACCTCATCTCGTATGCAGTGCTGAGCCTATCAGTACTTTCTGTTGCACGTCAATGTAATATCAAACTGCTGGTTCCTTAACATTAGATATGAGCATCAATATTTCATTATTGATACACAGGACGATTTGAGACATTAGGGAAAAAAAAAGACCGCCAAAAAAAAAAACAATTGCCTAAAACATTTCCACTTCGAGAGACACATTAGGAAAAATATCACTTACCAGATACTTAACTGGAATTGTTACGTGCACTCAATCCCCAAATGAGAGCAAAAAAAGATTCCATCTGTGTGTAACTTGATTTCTTTCAGATGAGTTATTAATTTGAATGAGTTAAGTACACTCCACTTAATCAGGAAGTGTTTAATCACAAGATCCACTTAATTGGGACATCTCCCAAGGAATTAAGATTTAAGTCCAAAGATACTTACCAGCAACGACTGCTGCTTAATGGGGATAGTAATGCTGCTTAATTGGGATGCCTTCAGGTGATGCTGGGGTGCTCCTTCTCCTGCCAGCTCTCCCTCTCTGTCCCCCCTGATGGGGTGTACCCAAAACCTGCAGTGATCCTGCCCTACATGCTCTCTGACTGCTCATACCCACCACGCTACAAGCCTGCTACAGCACCGTGCAGCTGCCTTCATGCTGCCCCAGAGGAGCAGGGAAAGACACAGGGCACACAAACCCTCTTTGCCTATGGCACCTCCAACCCAAATCCCTGCAGCCCATCAGTGGGGAACATGGTTCATCCCTCAGGACTGCTGAGTTTCACTGGGTCTCTAACAAGCTGTCCTGGCTGCAAGTTGACCTCAAGATCAACTTCCAGTTGCCCATCTGGAAGGTCATCACATTATGGCATATTATGTCTTGCAAATCAAGAAAGAAGCAGCAATTACCCACAAAAAATAGACACTGATTCAGTGTAATGGCTGAAAAATGAAGTGTTCCAATGCTGCACGTGCTAAAAACCAGGCACCCTCCAAAGTCCTCTCCTCCATCACATTCAACACACTTCACATGTGCTGGGAGACTAAAACACATGGAGACAGCTGAGCAACAGCCACCAGTCAGTGCTCTGTAAAGGTCCCTATTCACAGCCATGTTCCCTCTGCAGCCTGACCCTCACATCCCTTCCAGAAAGACTCCAGCACCTTATTAATTTTGTTGGCATCAGCTGTTTAACAGGTTACAGGCGATGGCACTGGATGGGCAGAAGGACTGAACACAGTTTCCATGATAGCAACAGGATAAGTCAGCCAAAACATCCAGGGAGTCTCAGCCACCTTCTCCCCAGGCTTGCTTGGCTGGCAAGAGAAGCCTGAATCTTCAATTTTATAAATGCAATAAATCATCCTAAGAACTCTGCCATAACATTTTATGCATTGCTAACTTTTATGCATTGCTCTGCATAAGTTTTATGCACTCATTAAGAAATTAAGTTGATAAAAAGTGACCAGATAGGAAGAGGGGGAAAAGGCCAGAAGGTTTGCATGGTGAAATAATGTCTAAGGCCAGGCTGGAGCATTTGGACCTTCAGACAGAGACATGCTCAGAGTGCCTTGAAGCATTAATGCAATCGTGAGTGGGAGGGACAAAGTACTTAAGGACACAGATATTTTACTTGTCCAGAGATGATCTTGGGGTACCATCATGCCCTATATCTACATCTGTGCTCTTCAAACTCCTCAAAATCCTCTCCCATTATAAGATGACTATGTGCTAGGTTGGGCATCCATGTTCAGCAAGACTTATGCTTTTGGAGGATGTTTCAACTACAATAGCATTGACACATGTGCTGTTGCACTGTGGCTCCTGCCCAGCATTGGTTACCCAGATCAAGTGGGTTGAAGATGTCCCTGTGTCTTGGTGAGTCATATCAAGAGACAATGACACTGGTAGGATCCACAGTTGTGGGAATGGGTCCAAATCTGCACTGAAATGCAGTTTCACATCTCACATGGGCAGAAAGGTAAACATGAGTAGTTACTCACTCTGAAGTATACATGGCTCTTGCTTATGGTGATGAGGTATCTGAGCTCTGTGAACCACCACAGGCTCCTTCCTCTGAACGCTGCTCAGAGCTCCCCAGGACAGGCCCACCATGAGAGGCTCAGTCAGAGCTTTGAATTACCATTAGGAAAACTGTCCAGCTCTGGGGTGGATCAATCCAGGTTCCCAGCTGCATTAGGGGAAACTGCTCTGTCCAGAACAGGGGACCTCAGAGTCAGCAAAACATCTGTCCTCTGTGTGCCCTTCCTGGCTATTCCTCCACAAAGAAACATCCCTTCCTGTAGTAGGATTCTGAGCTCAGAGCTAGAGTTTAAGACAGGTAGGGGTGATCAATATGCAACCCTTGAAAAGTAGAAACATGACTATTTTTTCTCCATGCTCTCACAACTGCCTCCAGAGACATAACTTCTTCAAGTATGACTGTATGCTCCCAAATTGTACAAAACAAGGCATTTTGATATTTGATGTCTATATTTTTAATTTATGGAAGCCCCCGCAAAATGGGTAATTCCTCCTCTAAGAGCCTTCTCACCTGTAATTGCCGTGAATGTGGCTCTACTATCCCACTTCTGTTGGTACAGATTACCTGTGTGTTTTCAGATACAATTCCTGCCAGGTCCTGCTGAGCTTTCCTAATCCCTTCATCTCCCCCGACTCCCGAAAGCCAGTGTAAATTCACTAGCGCTACTTGTGGGAACACTATAACAGTGCTGCTAGGACTGGCATGGGGAAAATCCCATTAGGAAGTAAGATGCTGTTGAAAGAATCTGTGGATCACATGGAGTGATGGCTGGAGTCACTGGTATAATTAGTAATAAATAATCATAAGGAAGACAGCTAGCACAAGCAAGGGGAGAGCAGACCGGCAGTAAAAACAGAGGCACTTGCCATTGAGTTCTGTGTTTTTATTTTTTTTTTACTCCACTTTGTGGATTAAAATATGCAATTTGTTTTCCCTAATTTGATGTACATTATTATCTTCATTATGACGATTTAACTCCTGGGTTAAAATCCTGCCCTTCCTACTTACTCTGATTGACTTCAATGGTCTACGGAATTTGACCGCTTCCAATTAACGCTACCCACTTGGGTTTCTGCTCAGCACTATCATGCACTGTTAATTGTTTAATAAAATGACTGGGTTGGGTATGTGTGTGAGAAACAGGAAGACACGAAGTACGTCTAGTAAGAAAACCTTCCTTTGTGAATAAATATCATAAAACACAGAGCTTGAAGTCTCTAAAAATAAGGGAAGCTTAATTTGTAATAAACATATACATATATACAAAACTACACCTGGCCTCCTGTGATTGTCAGAGCTGAACAGTAGCTCAATTACAGCAATATAATGTAGCTTTTAAAGAACCTATATATTTGCCTCAAGTGAAAAGGGGAAAGAAGTATTGTCTATTAAGTGTCAAAAACCTTTTCTTTAACCACAGAAGGCTTGGACAGACTAAGGAAATATTTCATCTAGAAGAGAAATGCTAAAAACTACCCTTCACATTATTGGAAAACCTATTATCAAATGCTAAAACCTCTCCTTAAATCCCTGAGTATACACAGCAACAGAGCAGGTTGGGTTCTAAGTATTTAAACCTTTGTTAAGGAAAAGACAACATAAAAAGGGATGCAATCCACCTGCTAATTAGAAACTTTATTTGCTGAGATAGTGTTCATATGAGCTTTGTGGAACATTTCATTCCCTTTGTAGTTCCGGAATGAGGCTGTGTTTTACTTACGGGGAAATGCAGTTGACTTTTACTCCTCTGTCAACCCACTCGGTTCCCAACGTCTGTGTTAATTTTACGACCCCGGCTTTGGAGACGTTGTACGCCAACTGCTTCTGTGGGTGCGGGACTGCAAGGGGTTCAGAAAGAGAAAATTATTTATTCTTCCCAAATTAAGACAGCTCAGGTGCTACACAGACAATTGCTTGCATTGAGATGAATTATTTGACATTTTTCCCGATGGTAGGTAGGGAAGAGTAAGAATTTAGCCACTCACAATGCAAGATTCTAAATATTATTTTGCCACCTAAAATTTGTGCCTCAGCAGCTGGTCTACTGAAAAAAAAAAAAGGCAAAAATAGAAATAAATAAAGAAATATAAAAGGCCCCATTTTGGGGCAAAGCCAAACCCAATGTATTAAACATAGATATGCAATACTTGGCTGCTCCCAAGAAAGATCAATAATCATACACATTCACATATTATACACATATATGTTTATATATTTGTGCACTGTAATACTAATATAGTATCATATAGTGATAATGCATTATATGATTAATACTATATTATGTGTTCTGTCTGTTATAATATATAAATATTATTTATTATTTATATATAGTACATTATTTGGTATGATATAATGTAATGCAACATATTAAATTGTTTGATATGACATTATACGATACAATATGATGTAAGTGCATAATAGATTTTATATAACATATTATATATAACCTCTTGGAACAAATTATTCTCCCTAATTTTTAAATTATCCATAGTCTGAAGCAAATATATCACATTATCTGAAGCAAATACATCACATGTTTGTGTGGATGTGATCACAGGTGCATCCCAAAAAATTCAGAACACCCACCACTTTCAAAATCTGAAGCTTTTGAAAATGTTTCAGAGGTGTCACATGTCAGTCAGAGACAGAAAATGATCGGCTTGCTAATTACAATGTTCAAGGTTGCTAGTGCTGTGTGCTTGCTGGCTCTGCCCCTCACCAGCTCCATGAAAGCTACTTAAGGATAAATCCCCAGTGGGTGTAAAGTGCTTTAAACCCATGGGAGTCAAACCAAGTCAGCCCAGCTGTTGGGATTTACACTCACAAAGTGTCTCTCCTTGGAGTTTTTTGGCTGCCATTAGGACTTCATTAAACAAATCCAGTGCAAAGCACCAATCCATAATTAGCTCCATATCAGTGCTAAGTGTCACTGAGTTGCTGACTCTCAGGGAGGGAGTGTGGAGAAAATCAGGGCTAAAAATCAGTAGTCACAAAGACAGGCAATTCCAGCCTGTGGGGTTGGATAACACTGAACCCTGGAAGAAAGGTAATCATTGGGATTGTGTGAGGTTCAGCAGGCAAATCCCAACTCACAGCATAAAAGCACACAAGCAGCACTGATAGATGGCATTAAATTGGTCTTAATAAATTAAGTTGATGCATCAGCTCTAGATCACTCCCACCCATGGCATCCCAACAGACCCACTACTGCTTTTATTGACTAAAACTATTGGGTTTGCATACGTCAATGTAAAGGGTGGAAAGAAGATGATAACTGAGTTATGTGAACTCTGAAAGAGCCTGAAGCCCTGCTGCAAATTACCGAGCATGTGAACAAGGACCTTTGCCTTGAACATAGATGTTTGTGAATAGATTTAAAGCACACATGTGATGGGAGCAGTAATTAGTGTTTTGGTTTTTTCTGCATGTGTTGAAGGTTTGCTCAGAATTCAGAGGCCTTTTCCTTGCTACAAAGATCATTACACACCATGGCCCTCCTCTGCCAGCATTTATTCTGTGTTCCTGTTTTGTTCAGTATGAAATACTTTGCATTCTGACCAGCAGAACTGCTTTGCCCTCTGTGTATGCCTGTTGCCCCCCGAAACAGCATGATGTGGGGGCTCTCAAAAAGATGTGGAATGTAATTTCTTGATTAATTGCCATGCTCCAGCTCCAGGTTACATACAACTTCGGTAGTTAACCTCGTAACCTCCCAAAAGCAGTTCTTTGCTAAATTTTCCAAACATGTCTCTCTGTGATAAATCATTTGGTGTTTGCTAAGAGGATGGGAGTTCTGGCACCAGCTCTGCATGTGGGTGAGAACGAGTTGCTGCAAGCTATGAGAACCAGCTTCTGATATGGGGTGGGTGCCGACACAGGATTTTCAAGAGTCCTTCCTTGTAAATGCTTTTGTCTTTGTAAGAATACCTAAGTAAGGTAACTCCCCCTTCTGAGACACTTGAGCCCTCTCTTTTAGAAAAGCTCCAGGAGCCAATAGGTACTGCAAGGCTCTGGCACTGGATGGCCTTTCAGCAGCTCAGCACCCTGCACCGCCTCCTCTCCCCTTACCTACAGTGGTCTCTTACAGACCACTGCAAATCTGCAACCCTTCAAACTCATACAAAACAGGGCTAGAGTTTGTGAATGAAGCTATGCCTCCAGCAGTGTCACCAAAAAAATCTGAATTATTAAGGCTTCTGGGAAGCGAGGACACTCACTCCTATTCAAGACTGAGACGATAGGAGGACCCAGATATAATTCTGCCAACATCAGCTGCATTATGTTTTAAACACCTGTGTCCTGGTTTGGGCTGGAATAGAGTTAATCTTCTTCCCAGTAGCTGCTACAGATTTTTGGATTTAGAGTGGGAATGATGTTGATAATACACTGATGGTTTAGTTGTTGCTCTAAATCAAGGCCTTTTCAGTTCTTGTGCTGCCCTGCCAGCCAGGAGGCTGGGAGCTGGTACAAGAAGCTGGGAGGGGACACAGCCAGGATGACTGACTCCAGCTGACCAGAGGGATATTCCAGATCATATGGCATCATACTGAACAATAAAACTAAGGGGAGTTGGCTGGGGAGACTGACTGGGCATTGGTCAGTGGGTAATGAGAAACTGCATTGTGTATCACCTGTTTTGTGTATTCTTTTATCCTTATTATTATTTTCCCTTCCTTTTCTTTCCTAATAGACAATCTTTATCTCAACCCACAGGTTTTAACTCTTTTCTCAGATTATCTCCCCCATCCCAGGGGGGAGCAAGCAGAGGGCTGTGGGGTGTAAACCACAACAACCTGACGCTCTGGTTTTGCAACCTTGCTCAGTGCCTCAGGCTTCTAGGCTGACCTTGAAGCAGCCACATAATGCTAATTAGAGGTGCACACAGACAGAGCAGAGCAGACCACTTACCACCAAAGATATTCACTGTAAAAATCACAGCTCTGAGTTACACCTGTGTGAACTGCTGAGCTGCAGCAGCCTCGCCGCCGCTGCTGGAGCGTATGCCTGGAATAATTCCAGTGAAATACCAGAATCAAAATGCACATATGCAAAATGTATGCGGCTTATCTTCAATTAATTAAAACTGATTCTGAGCAGTGAATCTGGAAAAATCACAAACAAAAACCTCCCTATCCTGCTAAGCGTCTCCTCATTTTCCTGTATCTCTGAGGAAGGACTCAACCTACAACAACAACAAAAAAAATATCCCCTAACTATTTCTAGAAACATTTCATACTATGCCAGTTGGCCAACATACTTAAATAACCAACCAACCAACATATTTATTTAACATTCAGCAGATGGACATGATATGAACATCGTGGTTTTCAGTTGTAGTTTCATAACTACTAGATTTTTTCAATGCCAAGATTCAAACAGGTTCAGAAGGTAAACACATCTCTTCATCTCTTAACTTTTGGCCTAGCACACATTGACTTTTACTGACATTTAAATGCATCTTGGGATGACCCTTCCAGGCTCCTCTCAGGGCTGCTTTCCAACATTCATTTCTGTTCCAGACCAGTACTCCCACAAATGTGATCTCCAGGTGAATCTCTGGGCTTGACTCACCAGCCAAGGAGGTGCAGCCTCAAAGTGGGGCAGAGATGGATGCAGTGGTGGAATGGCATCACCTCCCAGCTCAGCAGAGCTGTGCCAAGGCCCGACAGAAAAGTTGGAAAAAGCCTCTCCTTAAGCAGTGGAGACCATTGCTGGGCTGCAGTGAGACTGGGAACAGTGTGCCAAACCAACAGATCCTCAGTTGGTGCCAATTCCTAAAGCTTCCTAACTTTCTTCAGAGTGGAATACCTCCCAGGAAATTTTGCTTGGTGATAGTGATGTGGATGGTGACAGCCAAGCACAGACCAGAGCCCGACTGCAGAGTGCAGAGCAGGAAAGCCTGGTGTGTTTGAAATTTAAAGCCCTACATTCTTTTAAAAACTACCTTTCTTTGTGAGATTTTGTGACTTTACAAAGCCGAGGCAAAGGGATGGTGCCTGTGTTTAAGCAAAAGTAAAACAGCTGGTAAAGACACTTGAAAAAATATTAACAACAACATTGTAAATGGATTTTTGAAGAAACATTTAAAGTTACTGTGCAATAAACTGAGCAGAATGTCATAGAATGTCAAACTGGGCACAGTAAAAATAAATGTTATTCCAAAGGAAAATATAAAGACTGCATACTTATGTAACATTCAGCAGATGGACATGATATTAATACAGGGGTTTTCAGTTGTACTTTTATAGCTACTAGATTTTCTTGCCTAACTTGGCAACCCAAGGCACCATTTGATTTTTGGATTTGGACAATACTGCAACAGATGTCCAGACCAATAAAATAAATTCCTAAAGGGCTATGCTTAATTCGTGTAATTGATCAATTTTTGTTACATGGGCTTCAGCTCACCAGCATGTAACTGCCTTCCAGATTAGCTCAGCAGTAGGGATTTCATTCCATATGTTACAATGGTTTATTGGCGCTTTTGATGACACTGCTGATTCAGCAGCGCTGGTGCAGGCACCTGTTGGTGAGAGCAAGTTATAAAACCCACGGGTACTGGGGCAAAAACTGGCACTAAATCTCTTGGGTGGCTTTTAAACACCTCGGGGGCTCAGCTTCCCACACGCCAAGGAGTTTGCCTGGAACAATGGGGAGGATTACCAGCACCTTTCCCATGCCATCCATGCAATGGAGTCACAGAAGGTGACTCCACCTCTTCTATAAAAAGTAATAAGTGCTCTAAAACATTGAGGACAGATAAATGTTGAAAAATGATATCAATAAAAATTTTGTAGTACATTTCCTCTAATACGAAATGTCAGTGATTTACTCCTTCCCAATACAGGTTTAATTGATTCAAATAGCATCGGTAGTAATTAAAATATGGATTCTGAAGCACAACTGTTAGCTCTCATCACTCACCTATTAAACTTGCCATAGATGCTGTGTTAATTATCTTCCCATATCCTTGATTCAGCATAATGCGGCCTGCAGCCTGTGACAGAAATTAAAGGAAAGACCAGTGACCCTTTCTGTGATTGTGCTAATAATGACATGATAATAAATTAGTCTTCACTTTTCAGAAGAGTTGATGTGCTAACACATTTTTTTTAAGCACTTGATCTAAAAACTTAGTATAAAAATGGCTGATGCAGGAAAAATCCCTTTGCCGTTTGACACCTCTTCGCTCTTGGTAATATTTTTTCAAAATAATCACTAATTTTGGGACTACCCCCACAAAGCTTTTTGGTTTTCTGGATGTGCCAAATAATGACCCTTCAAAAAGTTTTTGCCATTCTCAAATGCCTGGGTTTGGGCAGCCAGTAAGTACCAGCTGCTTTTGGAAACATTGACCAAAATCTGTAGTTGAAATCTGCAAGTCTTCCCTTAACTCCAGCCAAACTAGGACCAATTTTATTACGATAATTCGTAATAAAGTGTTATTAAGTCTTGATCAAGTAAGTACTTAGAAAATTATTACCCATTTCCAAAACAAAACAGTGCAGCATTTCACACTTACTTGACAGCACAAAAATAATCCTCGCAAATTAACATTAAAAGTTTTGTCCCATTCCTCTAGGGAAGTCTCTTCACTTGCAGAGTTCAGATTGATTCCTGCGTTGTTGCACGCGATGTGAACCGTGCCCCAGCGAGCCACGATTGTATCCACCATCCTCTGCACATCCTCAGGCTTGCTTACATCCACTGCCAGGGCAAGGCTTTTAATCCCTGTGTTAACATCAGAGTGATGGAGTCAGTACAGGAATTCTCAGGGAAAGAAAAAAAAAAATCTATTTTGTGACTATTTATCAATGCATATATAGAGACATTTTATATAGAGATATATTTTACATATATAACTGTGTTGCATATATATTCCACCTTCATTCACTGCTGCACAAATTGTAGCAAAGCGTGCGTTTGTTACTGCAAAACTGTTATAATAAAGTTGCTGACTGGTGCGAGCTTTGCCTGTTGGAGACCAACCTAAAGCCCAGCTGTGGGAGCGAAGGCTGCCACTCCAGCAGGACGAAGCTTGGAACACTGCACCATCTTCTGTCCAAACCCTCAACTGCAGCTTTCCCATCCATCAGCAGCTCTACAGATGCTTTTTTTATGCCATGTCCCCCTGAGATGCTCCAGAAATCAAATTAATTTGTCCCCAAAGTGCTCTCTGGATGAACTACAGCATCCAGACAGCTGGAAGCCTCAGACAAAACCAAACCAGTTTTAGGTGGGAGAGCTAACTGGGAATACCTTCAGGTGCATAGGTATGGTAGTCACATTGCCTGGCCTTATTTATTGCAAATCACACTGCCAGAATAGTGCAAACAGTCAGAAGTTAAGAGATTTACCAGATTTGAAACATGCCATAGTGATTTTTTCCTCGAAAAATCCAGTTCTTGACTTTTGCACCAGTGCTGATCCATAAATAACTTCATTTAATTTATTATAAAAATCACCTTTATATACACTTGTTATTAAACAACATAAGCAGCCTGCTGAGGCACCTGATGTGAATGGGATTATATCCATCCAGAAAGCCAAACAAGCCCTTACACCAGTAAGGGCTGTGGTGAAATGGGTCTTAACTCAGGAGGTGGGAGGCAGACACTGGGGGTTGGACTGTGGATCAGCAATCTACAAGCAAAGAGTGCACAGATAAGAAGTTACAGCTATTAAAGTAAGATTTTTTATTTCTATATAAATGGAAAAATTGTTCCCCATTGGTTTCTCTTCCAGATCATTCTGATAAAGCATTTAAAAGAAGGCTTAAGCCTATTCTAGGAGAATAGGAGACTCTCCCAAAACGAAGCTTGAGATGGAGGGTTCCACAAAAGCAAAGCAAAGCAGTAATTGCCCAGTGGTGTTTGAAGAAAATGTCAGGAAAGAGACTTTTGGATGGAAAAGCTCCTCCTCACCTCCAATGCCTTCAGGAGCCTGCCAGAGTGCAATCCCTGAGGTGATGCTGCTCTGGGGTGCTCCCCACACCAGGCCATGGGAGCTCCTGTGCCCTTCAGTGATGACACAGCCCTCTTGATTTCCATGGCAGAGAAATAATACAGCCAACTAAAAAATGAATGCATGTTCTGCCACAAAACAAGACCTCTTATTTTATCGCAGGTTTTATGCTAAATATGCTGAAAGAATAAGAATAGCCAGACAGCCCTCGTTGCTCCTCCTAATTGTTATCTAGACGTGTAACGCACAGGGAGTTGCTGCAATCTTTCTTTCTCAATTTACAGACAAAACGGGTGCAAGCGTGTTACTAATGGTAACAGAGAGACTCTTCACCTGCCCTCCAACTCTCACCCCATTTATGGCTTCATCTTATAAGATAGTTCATAAAAACAAGACTAAAGGTGCCACGTGTGAGTGTCTGGCGAAGAAGCAGTGAAGACACACTCACTTCAAACCAGAGTCCCACATTTGACCTTAATCAATTCAGCTGATGTCCCTGCACTCAGAGAGAGAGGGAAAAAACCCACTTTCTGTCTCTCCACTGTCTCCCCAAACAACCTATTAAAAATAATAAATAAACTGTGGAAAAATAGCTTCAACTCTATAGACACAGCCAGAGATAAGAAACAGAACATACGACTGTGTTGCTGCATGCATGACAGAGTCAGTGCCTCTCCACAGCCCTCAGTCTAGTTTTGTGATGCTTGTGGAGGCAGTTTTGTGATGAGAGGGGAAGGAGTGGAGCCCAGTTGCTCTGTGGTGGAGAGACACCGGTATGCCAAATCCACCCGAGGTGCCCTTCTGCAGGGGACATGTACACGTCCCCCTGCCACAGGACTCATCTCTGGTCTCTCGGTGTAAATGGAAGTAACACGTTGCATATAGACAGGAAGATCAGGAGTGACATTGCACAAGGCATTTGCATAGTTTACAGTGAAAATGCACATTTTAAAAATCCCATCAGACTAATTCTTCCCTTAGGGTAGAGGCAGTGATTCCCCCTGAAGACAGAGGTGTGTGTTGTGGAAGGTAACCCTTAGGATTTTTTGGTTATGTTTCATCATTTTCGGTTCTTCTGTCAGGTTCCATTAGCAACTGTTGAAAAAGGTATTCACACAGGATCTCTAAACAAAGACCCCTGTAGCCAAGGGACATACACCCGAGCTGTCTAACAAAGCTAAAACTGAGATCACAGAGGTTCTGATGTTTAAAACTCATCATGAAATGATGGCACCATCCCAAAAGGCAGTAAAGGACTCCTTGGTATAAGAAGCAGAACAGCTCTAAGCAATTTAAGCAAAATGTTTTGAAAAAGTATCAATATGGGAATGACTTGGGGCACTGCATTTCCAACTTTGATTTAGAGATTTCTACAACCCTAGAAGGGGAAAAAAAAAAAGTCACAGCTCCTTTGTCCTTATTATAGCGGGGAAAATATGTATTAATATTATGATTTCTTCAATTTACTCATGTGAATATTTTCAGAGTAAAGCTAGCTGAACCTTTTTGTCAAAATTTATTTCCAACAGAGCATGTTACTTCTTTGAAGCCAAAATGTTTCATGGAAATATATCGATTTCAACAAAAGTTTTAAAGGGAAAGCTTCTGAGGTCCAGGCTAGACTCTCTAGTTACCTCTGGAGAGAAAGAGATTGAAAACCTGACCTTTTCAGATCCTTTCCAAAAACGGGCATTTGGTTATAATTCCCTTTCACAAAAGCATTACAAAGTTTGGGTTTTGTTCCAACAGGGAATGACAATAAATTTGAAACCTCAAAAACCGTCATGAGATGGAATAGATGTGCCCTGACCAGCTGCACTGGTCAAGTTGATAGATAGTATTTGACCTCAAAGGATAAAGATGTGTAAAGAGTGAGAAGCGAGATTTTCTTTACTTTAGAGTGCAATAATATTTGCTATGCCTCATGACCTCTCCGACTGCATTTTGGAACACCCCCCCACCTCCTCCAGGCTTGCAACCCACCGCTGAAGGAGCAGAGATGTAGGGCAGCCATTGAAGGATGGATGATCAAACTCCTACTGAAAAATGCCCTGGAGATAAGTTAAGTTAGTTTTCCAATAGGCTGTTGGCATCCAAAGTCTCATGGCTCTGTCAAGTAGCCCATTTCTATCTGAATAGCTCTGCTTGATATGCAGGATCTCACAGGGAAAAAACGTCCAAAAGGCAAGTTAACGTGTAGGGCAAAGCTACTTTGTGCCAAGGCCATATGGCTTTGGTGCATAAGGGAAGGACAAGCTTCAGGAGGGGAGGGACTGGATGACTCAAGAATTTGTAATAGGAACTGAACACTTTCTATTCTAGCTCGTTATTTTAGATCAGTGCTTTAACCATTGCACTGATGCTCAGCGCAAAGTGTCTCCTGCTTACCAGAGCTGGGATCGTGCAGACAGGGATATCTTGTTTTAGAAGTTCTCTGGGGAGGCTCAGGATGGTATCAAACCCAGAAATGTACCATTCCTCGCCCTTCTTGAGACTGGTGATACAAATGCATCTGCAGGGGCTGGTTTTGCTGGAGAATATGGTTTTTAATGGCCCAATCCCTTTTGGAAGTCAGAATGGAAACAAATACTGCTGACTTTATCCAAAATTGGGATATGAAAATTTCCTGGGTAAAGCTCTACATTTAGAGACAATGAAGTACTGAACTTTGAAGAAGGCTCAGGTATAACCTCACAAAATAAATTATAAAACGAATAATACTTCCTTTCTTTTATCATTAAAACTATATTTCCAGTTTTCTTTTTCCCCTTTATAATTGCAGTTTATCACGATTATAGGGGGAAATTTAATTTTATGTTACATTTTCTGTTTTTACAACAGAAGTGGCTTGTAGAGGATGCTACCTCTTCTTGGGGATTTTAGTTATTACATCTATTAATATTTTGTTCCTATATCTGACCTTGCAAGCATGTTTGAAAGAGTGTTTCAAAAATGACTTTGCTTCAATTTGAGAGTGCAATGAGAGATTCAGATTGACAACACATCTACCTTGTTTTGGTGTTTTGGCTCATGGTCCAGACATCAGGTATGGAAGAGGTGCCAGGGAAGGGGTATGTGAGTTTGTAGCCCATGTCTGTCATTCGTCCTTAGTGAAGCCTGAGACGCTGCATGATTTACTCTGAGAAACACCATCTAGATTTGTTCAATGCTGGTTATACAGATCTCACCCGTAAGGGGTGACCCTTCTCTGTCCCTGTCAGTCATGGCTCACTGCTGTGTTTCCTTTGGGCACCCTTGGCAAGGAATTTTATTTGGGTCACTTTGCCTCTAGTTAAGTTTATATTAATAAATAACTCTTGCAGACGGTGTCATACTGATGACTGCTGAGACAACACCGCCAGGGCAGGAGAAGCTTCATGACCATGGCATGAACATCTTCTGCTCTAACCTATTCCCCATCAGAGCTGGATGGAAGGTAATTCCACTGCAGAGAACAGGTCAGGTTTGAAGAAGGAAAGCCACCCATTACAGTGCTCATGACAGGTCAGTCCCACACTTACCTTTGAGGCTGAGCTCACACACCACCGCCTCTGCCTTGGCAAGGACCAGATCCACAACGGCCACTTTGGCACCGGCTTCCCCCAGGGCATGAGCAAAGGCTCTGCCAATGCCCTGCCCTCCGCCGGTGACATAGGCCACCTTGCCATCCAAACGCAGCCGGTCCAGGATGCGCCGCCTGTTATGGCCCCAGAAGATGTCATCCCTCACCACTTCTTTCTGAAACAAAACATACACACATTGCCCTATAAGGGGTAGAGCTCACTAAGTGAGACCTGTGAAGGACTTTGCCTGTGAGAACAAGGCAGGAGCGTGAACAGGGATCCATGTCTTCTTGCCCATTAATTAATATAAAACATATGACAATATTAGTCTCAAAAGGAGCATGAAATACCAGACAACGGAACAGAAGGGTTGTGCTTTGGGGAGATGCTCTAACCACTCCACTTACATGACAGTAGGGTATGGCATTTCCCAGCCTGGTTTCCCAGGGAGATGGATCAGGTACATTGTCTTAGAAGCTAACTGATTAAGTCTTCCAACTAGTTTACCCCCAGGGCCCAATCCTGCCTCAGGCTCAGCTGGTTCCAGGAAGACACAGAGCAAGATTCCGAAGTCAGGATTTTGCTCAAGCAGAGTGCAATCAAAATATCTTCACAAGGCTGGTGCACAAATAAAGATTATCAGCCAATAACTTAAACCAAGCTGTCATCTGATCAGCTGCCATACATCATTTCCCCCTAACTGGAATCAAAATGGAAAATACAAGATGTTTAAAATACTGAGTTTGAAATGCCAGGAATTACCAGTGGGTGTAACTTTAGGAGCACTCAGAAACCGCAAAACAATCAGGATGTTTGAGTCTGCATTTACTGAGCTAGGCCATTATGATTGCAGATGGGAATTTCATTACAGCTGGATGATGCCCACTACATAAAATGGAGAAAGATAAAATCCTTGTTTTTTCCATAGGACAAGCAAAATCTAAGGCCATGAAAGTAGTCAGCTCACAGAGCATAAGAGGGCATTGTGTGCTGCTTTGGGTTGAAAAAAGAGCTACTTCAGAAATATTGTATGGGTTCAGCAGACCCCAGCTCCATCTGCCCACGCTCCCCTGCATGGGAAGGACAGGAGAGCAACAGGTACAGACACCCAGTGAGCAGCATGTCAGCCACTTTGGAAATTCATCACAGGATCAGCTGATCCAAAAGACTTTGCAAGGAATCAGCATTTAGTGTAACCTGGACAAGTGAGGCTAAAAAATGCCAAGCCCTAAGTTGGTAAATCCATGATGAACAGCACTATGTATTTGGGTTCTTGCCACCAAACCCCTGAAAATTATATTGTCCCTGTCCTCAGCAGAGTCAAAAGTTTCCCAGAAGTACTCACAGAGAGGAAATACCCACCTTGAATTCAATCACTGCATCTGGAGGTACAGGGATCCTTCGAATGATGCTCAGTCCACTCTGCACAGGTAAAATTACCTGCAAATATAATGCACACACAGTTCTCAACTGCTTTGTACTTGGCTTTCTGTCACCCAGATTCCACTGATATGAAGGATAGTCCTCAGGCCATAGTAGCTCTTCTCCTATTCCTTTTCTTATGTGAAATTCCTTCCAACACAAATATGTCAGGCATTTCTATTTGCTCACATGCCTCTTTCAAATTCATTGCCTCCACAAATGACAGGAAAAAAATCACAATTTTAGTTCTCTAGTTTCTAAATCAGTACCAGCTGCTGAGGTTGCTGGGTTTCTACTCCCTGGATAAGGCTGTCATGAGGACAGTCCAGTATTACAGTAAACCACAATAGCAATACTGTTCTTCACCATGTGATAGAACATCTGTCCTTCACCCACAGATGAGGGTGCAGGACATGCATCATCATGAGGAAACCTGCACTCAGTTTTGCAAATTCAACACGACTATCACAGTGTTAGAAGATCAGATATGGAATCCACATGCTATTTACATTCATTCAATGGCTAACAGGGAGATTCAGGACATGGAAAACTCTGATTAATCTTGCCCTCATCTACAAACAAAAGTTGATGCTTCTGGAACATTGTCTATTAGTTGTGTCGATGATAGAATAATACAGAACCACAGGAGGTACCTTTAGAGGTGTCCGACCTACAGGTAGAGAAAGACATTTAGCCTATGAGACATCAAAACACTTTGGGCATGAGCTGCACACCTCTGTGCCATGGAGAGCTGTGGCAGGGGGGAGTGTGGGAGGTGGCAGACCTGCCCTACCCCACCACGAGCCCATCCTTACAGTGCAGGACAGCAGACGGGGATCCAGCCATCCTGGTGCAGCCATGGAATGAGGGTGAGCTGGTGGCTGCTGTCCTGGGGCAGCACCACTCACACCTGCTTTTAAAGCCCTGAAGGATATGTGTTTAATATTGCCTCTGAAACTACAGTATATTGTTTGTGCATCCTATTACTTCTCTCTTATTTTTTTTCTTTCCTGCTGGAGTAGCACTTTGTTGACTCCTGTTGTGCTGGTGGTGCCCTACAGCCCCCAGAGCCTTTAAAGCAGAGCGGTGGTTCCTTGGTTGTGCTGTAGAGCTGATTATTCACTCTTAAGTGCTCCCCTTTTATCTCTCCTTTAACACTCTGTAAGATGTAGACAGAGTAGGGACTGTCCCTGAATATAGAAACTCATACCTAGAGCTCAAGTGAGGTGAATGACAATAAAATCTGAGTTCATTTTAGGTCCTCTGGATAATGGCACCAACGAAAGAAACATTTTGAAGAGTGCTTTGCAAAATCCATAGATACAGCACCACGGGCACCTTAACCAATGGCATTGCACTAACCTGCTCAACACGAGGATCTGAATTAATCACTGAATTTAATTTTCTGACAGCTAGTACATTTTCATCTGATACATTCTCCAGGTAGACTTGTCCTTTCATGAGTGTATTCTCTACACAGATCACTGCATCCATTCTCAGCAAGTGGTTATCCATGACAAAGCTGTAGTAGTGAACAGCATTCCTTTGATCAGCATCAATAAAGACTATATCAAAGTGCTCGTCCTCAGCATGTAATGCCTGGGAAAAAAATTATGTTAGAGAAAACACTAATTATTTACCTGAAAGTTAAAGTCTTGCCATTAAAATATCCTTTATATAAAGCCCAAACAAGAGGAAAATTTTTTCTTTTAAAGCAACACTGCTAGAATTACTTCTGGAGATCTTGGGAGTTTTTCCATGCTTTGCAAACAATTCCACAGCAACAAATCCCTGAACTTCTCAAAGAAAATCAGGATATAAAAGAGGATGTCTCATCCCAGCTTGAGGTGTTGAGAGTCACAACAGAAACATCTGCATACCTCAAGTCAAAGCAAGTTGATCCAGCAGGGTAAGGGAGAGGACTGGCATCAAACCCTGCCACTGACAGGCCACAGTAACTTATCTCTTCTCAAAAGAGCAACTATCAACAAATTGAAGAGTGGTAATTATATCACTCCGGCGAAAAAAAGAGGCATAAGGCAGATCTGGGAATTGCAAACTAGTGAGTCCCACTTCAGTAGCAGGAAAAGAGTTGAAATCCTAATTAATAATAGAATTATAAAGCACATAAAAGAACAGGTCACAATAGAGATAAAGCAGCACAGACTCTATGAGGGAAAATGATGTTTCTTTAATCTAAAAAAATGCTTTGGATGGCTCAGCAACAGAGAGGATAAAAGAGAACTGACTGCTATCATCTAATTGGATTTTCAGAAATGTGGCACACCTTCCCTCCAAGCAGGCTGCTGATGATAATGTATAAAAGTGTTGATGGATGACCAGATGGGAGCCTTTACAGCCTTCTCCTGTGGCAGCTAATGCACTTGCTGCCCAAGAGGCTGCTATGGAATATTTCAGATTCCATCTGGGACTATTTAACTGCATCTGTGTGCGTTGCAATGAAACAACAGCTCATCCACCTATCTCGGCAAACAGAAATGCTTTAAAGTTTTGGCATTTCAAGTGAAAAGAGAAACAATTATGTTTTCCAGAACTCACTGTTTCTATCACAACTTTTAACGGTACTTTTTGCATCCAGATTTCCCTTTTGTGTTTGGAGACATCGCACACAACGAGTGATGAGTGATCCCCTGAGACGTACCAGCAGAAGCATCAATAGCAAATGGCAACAGAATGTGAAGACTGGTTGGTTTTGGGGAGTGAGGTTGATGGTTCCCAAACAGAGATTTCAGGAGCTTTTCTGGGGTGGGGAGTGTGTGGTTCAGACAAGAAAACAGCGGGAAGTGGATCGTCGAAGCTCTGAGTTCCTCTATTGTGCAAACTGGTGTCATTGAGAGTTGGTTAGTGGTGAGGGAATTAAGCTTGGATAGTCACATTTAACTGCAGATACTTAATAGCAGAGAAACTCTGCCAAAAGCATTCATGAGTCCACATTTAGGACACCTTTTGATGCTGCACTATAATAAAAGAAGACCTTAAGGCCAAATATATGCTGGTTCATAATAAATAGAGCAGAAACTGGGACATCTGGTTTCCTGGGATTCATCTTTTCATTTCACTACCAGTAAGAAAATTTTGCCCTGGTTCCCTCTTGAGCCATATTGGGGGAAAGCAGCAGGAACATTTTTGCTACTGTGGAAGACCATCTTCTATCAGGTTGCACCTCAGTCAGTCTGTCCAATGTAGATACTTCAGGAAGGGTCAGAAAATGAAAGCTGGGTCAAGGAGCCCATCAGGAAGAGAGATTAGAGGTCTCATTCCCCAGGGAGAAGAGCCAAAGCCAAACTCGAGTAATTATCATGACTTATCACTACTTTCTGACTTGTAACCTTCCTGGGTGGAGGAGGTGGGGGGCAGACATTCAGAAGCAGATGTGACCATTGCTGAACATATGTTACTACTGCTCCATGGTATGGCTCCCTAATGAAAAAGAATCTCACTTTTATGCATTGGCTTCATTAGGTCCATATGGAGTTGTGTAGCTCTTTGGATATTAGCTGGACTTCTCATTTCAACCCTCCTTCCATACTGCCTACCTGCTGACAGCTTATCTCCTTCTTATCTGTCTTCTGATACAGATAAAGCACCTTTTAACTCCACAGCTTCCATCCCCCGAGGGTACCTGGGTTGGATATGTATCCAGCACACGCCTGCCTTGTCCTTGCCCTGCCTGAGTGTGCAAGGCCACGGTTTCTAAGGCATTTCTCTTCTGCCAGTTCATCAAGTCCTGAATGACCAGCCATGAAGGTCACTTGGGCTCCTTTCATTTCTTCTAAATACCCAGTATCTGACACCTGTAAGGAACTGTCTGAGTTTGTGCTGGGATCTGTCATCATTTGAGTTTCTTGTTTCCACAGCTTCAGAATTGCTGCTGAGTTTTCCATATTTAGCTGGAAACAGTTCCAGGACTCTAAGAGGAATCCACGAAATTCCTTGAACCATCTTTGCCTCTAGAGCAGGAGGGAAACAAGCACAGGAAGGGGAAAGTCCCCTGTTTCCTGGAGCTCCTTGGCTAGCAGAGCAGGGATCACTCAGACAGGTGGTAACTGTGGCCAGGGTCCAACACTGGAGAGGGTTTCCTCACTGGCAGCACCTGCTGCTGAACCCAGACAGCCAGAAAGGTAAAAAACTGCTCTACTGGTAGCTCTGACTGCAGAGCCAGGCACTGGAAAGATGGGTGCAGTGATGAAAAGGACAACTCCCTGCTGTCCCATATGGATGAGGGGGCTTTAGAAGATGGATTGACAATCCTTGCCCTCCCACCACAGTCTGGGCCAGGCCCTGCCTGGGACCTCACAGTAAGCTGAAGATTCCATTGTCCTTTGCTTGGAGAGAGGCAGAACCCAGACGACTCCAACTGCGAGGAAAGATGAGATCCAGAAGGAAATAATCTGCCTGCAAAATATCCTGCTGAAACTAATTTCCTGAGTGTTTACAGTGCAATCCCTGCTCCTTGCTATAGAGTCATCTTAGATGGTAACAGATGGCAATAAGAGTTTTAATTCAGAGCAAACTTGGCTAAAATTAATGCTTTTGATTACAGTGAGTCATTAACTTCCTTTTGGATTAAAAAAAGAGTAACACTGCATTCCATAGAGGAGATACACCAAAAGAGACCACGAGAAAGGGCACAGCAGCACTGCTGATGGATACAGCAAAAGACCAGGGAGAGGACATCCTGAATAAAAACATGAATGAATCTTCTGCCAAAGCTCAGAGAAAACCTGATTGGAGTCCTTCTCAGAGACAACATAAGGCACATACAAACTCAATCAGGAAAAAAATGACTGCCCAGTTCCTTTGATATGGATCATACAGTCAGCATATTTGTAATAAAGATGTACTCAAAACTTATTACCTTCCCTACGCCTTGTTCTTGACCTAAATGTAATAGCAATCCATCCTTAGGGCACACAGAATACATGAAAAAGTACAGCTTCCTTTTAAAACACCATTAGAATATTTTACTGTATGTGGACATACACTCTTGTTACTCCTAAATGCTATTCTATTGAGTACAGTTTATATTCACCGGCAAGGCGAAATCTCTAGGGAAGCCAGAGAGGGAATGCAATTTCTAGTAATAACAGCTCACAACAGTGAATACTATCCACTTATCCCCACAATTTCCAGCTATTTTGGACTCCTTTCTGAATTAACCTTTCATATCAAAAGGAGCAATTCTAGAGCACACTAGAGACTCCGACACAATTTCATGCATAATTTATTCACTCAGTTCAACATTAAACGCAGAGTCCTTGACTTTGTCAAGGTGGATTCTGTTGGCAGACTTCACAAGCAGCAAAACAGGAGAAATGAGATCTGCAGCTCAACCTCTTCACCTATTCTGTCTGCTAAAAGGAGGGAAAAAAGAAGAAAGCAAACCCCGACATGCTTACACAACGCCCTGCAATCAGCAGAATCGGCTGCAAACACGGTGTTATTTTTTGTGGTACATTTTCAGTTTAAAATGGAAGGATCAAAATCATGGATGAGAATAATTTCCTGGTAGTTTGCATTCTGTCCGGACTCAATCCTGCAGCCATTGTTCAAGGAAAAGTCCACTGGGGATTGAAGGAAGCTCTTTGTGCAGGATCAGGCTCTTGCTGGCTGCGAATGCATGGCAAGGCACGTTATCCAGGCACAGCACAACAGAGTTTAGACTTAAGGACCTTGGTGGGAAATGTTTTTAAATGCTGGCCCAGCACACATTGAAAGGGTAGCTAATTCCCACTAAGAACACCAGTACCTGAGACTGAACCCAAGGAAAATTTCCCCTCAGTCCACATTTCAAAATATTACATAGAAATTATTGAAGCCACTGGGCACAGAGGCTTGTGCCATCGTGTATGTGAGATACACACTTTGGTGGAAACCTCACCTAGCTCAGCAGTGTCTATCCCCCACATGTGGGAAAGGTGGGTTTTTGTCAGTGTGCTCTCAGGTGCCGAAAGAACCCCACTGTCTACTTGAACTCTGTGGCTCCTGTCTGATACTTAGCATCCCTTGACTGGTCAAAATCTCAGATATTTTGCAGCTGGCTGTGATTTGGGACGGGAGGCGAGGAACTGGCTGACTCCTCCACTGCTGTGGGATAACACAAAGGAGCATCAAGAGAGATGTTCTTCATCTTCAGAGAACCTGGTCAAGGTGCTGTTATGGACTGCTGTGCTGCCTTAACACTCTGAAAATTTGAGGAGCAGCAGATAAGCAGAGATTCTACCCTCTTGCACTCAGATTGGAAGCAAAACTCAGCCATCATCACCACAGCAAGAAAACTGCATCAGACACCTCCAAAGAGCAAGTGGTGGGTGACCACCTCTGCTCTCTAATTTCTCCAAAGGGACAAGAATGAAACCTCGGGCTGCAGACACCATGGGCAACAAAGATAATCCTTGCCAGAGCTTGTTCCAGCTCTTCAGACTGTCATAGTGCTCCTCAACAAACACTACCCAGCTCTGCTCCAGACCAGCCTCCCTGCAGACCATGGGGGAGAGAAATGTTGTTCTCCAACTCCTCCACGAAGCTGAGCTGTGAGAGGTCGGCTGTGCCATCCCTCACCCACCTCCAGCCTGTGACTGCCTTGTCCTCCTGCCTTTCAGCATGTCCATGGGGCAGCAGCAGAAGCCTGCTGTGTCTCCAACCTAAAGCAGCCATCTGGGAGGGAAAAGGCAGCACACTGTTCACAGCCTGAGCCTCTTCCGCACATCCAGCTGTGTTCTCGCGTGGCTGCCCAACTCCAACCAGGCAAACCTCAAGAAGCCCAGATTGCCAAGGTACCAGAGAGGCCACCACATTCATTGCTTCAGCATTTACAGCCATTGTGGATTAGACCTGTAGGACAATCCTGATTGTCCTGATACCAATGACAAAACATCTGCCACACTGAGCAAAAAAAGTTCAGAGCCCAGTGCAGAAATCCTGCACAGAGAGGTGTCCCCATGCTGGGATGTCTCTCCTGCCAAACACAAGAATCTCTGTTCCCAAGAGCTCTGAGAGGTATTTGAAGTCCTGAGCACCTGCAGAACCAGGGTCAGGATGTGCCTTCATGTTGCAATTGGAGGATATAAAATCAATTGCAACATTCTGTTTTAAGGATTTAATTTTCATGTCTTTGCTCCCTTCTTTAATCTCTACACAGCATGTACTCTGCCTGCCTCTAGATATTTTAATTCAGTCACAGTAAGTCAGTTGCACAGAATGGGCACTAGAGAGCAACAGCAATTCAATTAATTTCACACTCACTGCGGGGAGCTGGGATTTTAAATGCTGCACATTGCAGGTGATCTGTAACATTTCGTTATTCATATACTTGGCAAAGCTCTTTGTTTCTTTCTTATCAAACTTGGAGGTCATGAAAGCCAAAGGTCAGAAAGCTCCTGGCCATTTCATTTTGGAAATAAATATGGTACCTGTTAATGCAAGTAAAGTTACAATCAAGCTCACACTGACACAACCAGATTGAAAATAGAATCAAATGGGAATTAAATGTGAGTTGCTGGCAATCATAAGCTTTTCTCTTTCTTGGGACAAAGTCACTAGTCAGAATGAAACAAATACAGCTAATGCCCTATTTGTGTTAAGCTCATCACATTGCTCTGGAAGTGAGAAATTGGGGTTTAATTTCCCACAGAGTTTGCAGTGGGGGAAAATAATGAGAAGTTGTGGCTGAATTAGAAACTTCTCCAAGACCTTCCTGATTCTTGTGAACATTGGGAGCAAGCTGTCTTTTCTGAAGGGCTGGCTCAGCAGGGTACAGATACCCTCTTCCTGTTTGTTATATTTGGAATTAGAGATCTGAAACAACCGACATGAAGTAAAACTGTCATTGAAGCCTATTGACCTACATTGAGAGGTTGTGATTCCTCTGATCAAAAAGCTGCAGGATTTTAGTTAAAAAGAAAAAACCCAACTGTTTTGTATGATAGAGTTGTCCCATCATACACTGTGAATAAGAAATATCCTCAGTGCAACCACGCGTTCAAGTAGTTGCAAGCGAACCAGGGCCACCATCCAGCTTTTTGGATGCAGGAAATAGAACCTACCAGAAATGGTTTAATGTGCTCTGCACAAGAGCTCCCAAACTCCCCTTCCAAACTGACTTTACCTCCAAGGTGTCTGCCACTGGTCCCACTCGCATGCTTATCTTTTTGCCATCTGAAGAATAATCAAATGCTTCCTGGCTGTTCACTCCCAGATACGGTGCTTCTGCACACGCAAAAATTTTGCCATCGTCTGGCAATTCCTCTGCAATAGCAAGGATACTGTAGCCTTTAAGCTTGCCAATTAATAAAATCTTCCTGGCTCTGATCATATGAACAAACATCCTAAAAATTTGGCCTGTGGAAAGACAAGAAAGAAAAATTAAAAATAAAACCATAGGAAAGAGGGTACCCTGTTAACAATGAAAATTAGATGTGCCTTTTAAGTGATCATTAAAAATGAAAGAAAAAAATTTTAAAACACTCTCAAGTAAGGGTTTAACAACAGAATCTGACAAAATTTCATCTAAAATGCAGCTAAAAGACAACAGAATAAAGGGACTGGTTTTAAATGTAGAACCTTTATCATTAGTGCTGCTATTGTTCAAGTGCTTGTTAAATAGTGCTTGAAATATTGCATATTTTAACATTCCCCCCATATGAAAATGGCTTTGAGATGGCTCCATATTCTTTCTGGAATCCAGTTAAAAGAAAAAAAAAAAAATCACTACATTACCTTGCATTTGCTCTTAGAGTCATTATCCCCAGACAGCACCATCATTTAAGAAATTTATCATCAGTGGTGTCCTTCGAACAATGTATTAGTGTAATACATTATAAGAGTACTTCACTGGGATGATATATTAGTCCAAAGATGGGAACATCTGGGAAGAATGAATCTGGGAATAGATTCAGTGTAATAGGCTTTATATGGGGATACAAGCCTGGGTATTGCTACTTGTAAAGGTACAAGTGCTTGGCGACAGGCCACCTCCACCACAAAAAGCACATAAACCCCTAACAGACACCTCCAAACCCAACCAAAATGATTTTTCCCTTCCTTTCCCTTCCAACAAGAGTAATGATCTTTTTGCTGCTCACCAAGAGATGGGGCTGGCACAGTGAAGTGTCTGTGTGGACACATGAGTGTGAGTACAAGGGCACAGGAGGAATGGGACAAGGAAAACTCATGCCAAAGGAAGATCAAAGCCCACAGGAGGCTCATATCGTTATGTTTTAGCAATTTCCCATATTTTCTGAGCATTTGCATGGCGTTCAACCTCTCCTCACTCTAGACAAAGTAAAGAATTATAGCTTCAATGTCAGTGATAACCTTTACACCAATCTGGTGCAATTTTATCCTCTCAGTTGACCAACTTGCCATTCAGTGAGCCAGAGGTACGTGCTTCCTGCAGCCTAACTCTGCTTCCAGCTCCTTCAGCATCCCCTGGGATGTGATCAGGTGAAGTTTTTCTGGAAAAAGAAATAAATTTCAACATTACGGTAACAACTGAAATCTGAGAGTCCTGCATAAAAAGCAGCAACTAAAAGGGAATGCCTGGAAAAGCTCTAGATGTGCATGGCCACGAAAAATTAGCCCAGAAGCATTACAAATATCCTAAATTCCAGTCCTAAGAGGGCCTGGCTTGGCAATAAGCCCATCTCAATGCTGGTAGCCACCCCAGCCATAGGGACTTGGGAAGAAGGGGCTATGGGACCAAAGGAAAGCATTCCCCACTGTTCAATCCCAGATTCTTCCCATTTCCAGCCAGTCCTAGACAAGTCTCTATCAGTCTGCTGGTTTGGAGTAAATCACCCTAGTTACCCTGGCCAGGTTTTGTTCAGTTCTACAATGACTATTTTTGTTTTAGCCAAAAAAAATAGAGGTTTCATTGCAGAATAAGGGAAAAGATGTAAAATCTAAATTGTTTTGCAAGATGGGAAAAACATGGTTTTCCACACAAACTACCGAGAAAACAGGGTGTCTCCAGATGCTATTTTACAGAAGCCAGGCCTCTGACAATGTATCTGGATGAAGTGAGATGCTACCTATTACACAGGGAAGGCAACAGATGACTGGAAGAAGTCCATAGCCTCCAGACAGGTTTGATTACCCTATCTGAAGAAAGCAACCATCAGAAATGGATGGTGATTATTCTGCAGGTCAGAATTTAGAGACATTTCAGCTTTTTTTTTTTCCTCCAGCTTCCCCCTCCCTACCCCTCAGTAAAATGAGAAAGAATTCATAACCCGTGTCAGCCACACTCAGATAATCCAAGACTTAAGGAGTAGAACATTTCATATAACCTCTTTTCTGCCCCTCACAAATGCTTTAACAACTTTAATAAGATAATGTATAGCTATTATCCTACAGCAAGTGTAAGTCAAACAACTATCAGCTATTATTTCAGCAACAGAACGAACACTCAGCTTTCCCATAATCCACAGCCTGGAACAGTTTACACACTGTCAATTTTAGACAGAACTGGCTTTTTCCACATATCAAAACGTGCACTGATAAATGGGAATTGTTTAGCAGACCCCACATGGCTAGGTAATATACTGTAGCTCAGAAAAGAATAATGAGGGTATCAGTTGGACTTCTGAATTAATGATACCTTAAATTAGTTTAATTAATTAGTTTAGTTACTAGAGTAATTTAGTTAGCAGATTAATTAATGTTTGTTGAGTGCTTGGAGATAAAAGCTGCATATAAAGGCTGTTATTAGAGGGTGGATCCAGAGGTGTAGGTTTTCCTTATTCTTTATTTATCCCAGCACCAATTTGATTGAGGGGCTCGCTCTTTCAGCCTTCCAGCTGGAAGCTGGTGTGCTGCTGTTCCCCAGGATATGGTCAAACAAAGACATTGACATAGTTAACAGTCAGCTGGGAGAATGTCTCCCAAAATTTAGAGTCAGGACTTCTTGTTCTCACCTCCTCTCCTGTATGCTGTAGGTGCACACAGACACACACATCCATGCACGCTTTGCTATATATTTGGGTGCAGTTAGAACTCTCATTCTTCTTCCTCCCATTTTTATGGCATGTTCTGGACAGAAAACCTGAGAACAGATTCACACACTCCCAGACAAAAGCACAAGGTTACAAAGGAGAGTTGGTACCTCTTAGAAGTTGCCATTGCATCCAGGTAAGGGTCTAGTCCAAGAGCAACATCAAGAGCTTTTTGTAAGTAATTCCTGAGCTGCTCAGGTACACGGGAGTCATTGAGAGCTATTTCTTTGGCTTTGAGAAGGTTCTCAGCAATGTGTCCAGAAGGGGTTTCTGAAATAGAAAATAAAAGGAAGAATAATGATTTTGGGACTGCTTAAGTCAGCGGAAGAGGAATTTGGAGTACAAAAAAACAAGCGCACTTTTTTTTTAATAGAAAATACAGGTTTTTGAATTATTATGAAAACAATCACGGAAACCTTTTCAAATGGAAAAAATAGTGTACTTCTAATAGATTTTTGTCACATGCATTCTCCCTTTTTGGGGGATCAGCACAGCTCATCAAGGATAAGAATGTTTTAAAAACATGAATTTTGCTTTTGAAGTTCTGAGACAAACATCAAACACCAAACAAAATCCACTCCTCTAGGTAGCTTTGTCCTTGGAGAAAATAGAGCTCTTCCCAAACTGCTCTTGCCAAACCAGGCAGATCCTCTAAGCCAGGAGATGCAGGCACTGGATGTAGCTTTGTGAAAAGGAGGATCTCCACTACCTGTGTGTCAATGGGATGCACAAGTGTCCCTGACATGTGTCTGTGCCACAGAGGCTGCTGTGCACAGAGTCTGTAGAGCAATCCGTGATGCTAATGCTAAAATAAAATTACACCTGTCCTAGTGCAGCCAAAGTGACAAACACTCAAATACTGCTCTAGTAGAAGGTGTCCCTGCCCATGGCAGGGGCTTGGAACTAGAGGATCTTTAAGGTCCCTTCCAACCCAAACCATTCCATGATAAAAACTATTATGCCAGATCCATGATGGCACAAAATCAAAGGTAGTCTTAATGATTTTAAGCAGGTTCATGTAGCAATCAGGCAGGAACAAAACCTCCTAATCCTTCTCCTGCCTTCAACCTACCACAACAGTTTGAGTGGTGATGTACCATCCTGTTTCTTGGGGAACAAAACCTAATGATGCTTGAATCCACCAGCACTATATGGCAGAACTGCCAGTACCTTTTCATGAGCCAGACCCTGCCAAAAGCTGATTATTCAGGTAAAAAGAAACAGGCACAACACTACAATATATCAGTGTTTCAAAGACTACAGAAAGATCTCCAGGATGTAGATTATCCTGCCCTGGGGCCAACGCAATGCTGCCCATGGCACTAAACTTGCTCTGAGACCCCAGAAAACCCTTATGGCAGCAGTGCCACCATGGACCACAGGGAGACATGGCCCCAGAGAGAGAGAGAGACATAGTTCATAGAAACTCCCCCACTCCTCAAGTGTAAGAGCACGTGCTGGGTTATGAAAGCATCTGCAAGACCAGGTGTCAGAGACACAGGGCAATAGGCTGTGAGTGTAACTGGGATGGAGCAGATTGCCCCTGGCAGGATTTCATTCCCTACGACAGAAAAACTGCAGAGAACTGAGTGGAGTTAGTGAAATGAGGACATGCTTTACATCTGCAGCCTTCCAACACCTGAAGAGAGTCTTCAAGGAAGATGAAGAGAGACTATTTACAAGGCATGTAGTGACAGAACAAGAGGCAGTGACTTTAAACTGGCAGAGGGCAGGTTAAGGCTAGATATTAGGAAGAAATTCTACACAGAGAGTGGTGAGACCCTGGCACAGGTTGCTCAGAGAAGCTGTGGCTGGCCCATCTCTGGAAGTGTTTGAGGCCAGGTTGGACAGGGCTTGGAGAAACCTGGGATAGTGGAAGGTGTCTCTGCCCATAGGAGGGGGTAGGATCTAGTTGAACTTTAAGATCCTTTCCAAACCAACTCTTTCTTTATTCTATGATATGATGATTTATATCTCATCCCAATCTCTTGCCATCAAATGGCAAAGGGGCAGTTTATGTCTCATTCAGCAGTTCTATAATTAATTGTAAGTGCAAGAATAACCAACCCCTTCCCAAGCCATGTTAGTTGCTGCCCTCAGTCCAGCTACGTGTTGAATGAAGAGGACACACACTCCTTTCACAACCGCATGAGGGAGTATCCACAGGCTCCTGCTGCACCACTGGAGAATGCTGGAGGTCAGGATCTGCTTATCCTCCCTGAGAAGCACTCTGAGGTTTTTGTTAATTTAGGGGGAAAAAACATGTTTATAATCCCTGTCGGATTTTAGTAATCTTAATGTTATCCTTCTGAATGAGTAACAGAGAAGGGTTGTCTGACACACAACTGCAAACAAGACTTACCTCCCGCTGTTTTGTAACCTGTGTTATAACACCAATTGCGAGCGCCAAGAGGTGCTGCTGGGGATGGCAGGGCATGCCAAGAGCAGCTCTGCATCTGAGATTATACAATCTTTTCAGGGAGTGCTGCATTTTTTGCAGCCTGGTGATGCCATGGGCCAACAGCAGAGGTCAGAATTGCCTTCATTTATGCAAGCATGAGACAAGTCAGAGCAGAGCTCAGGACTGGCTGCCCAGCCCAAGGCTTTGAGCACTAACGTGAGCTAAACTTTATGTAACTACTTTTTTTTTTTTTTTTTTTTAATGTTACTCCAGGAAAAGTGATTCGTTTTAGTACATAGTTTGCACAACCCCAGCAAAACTCTTGGACTG